AACTCAATCTCTTTGTGCTGCAATCCCGATTCAAAGCATCTTATGACCCTTTTGTGCGTGATCCCGGAACAAACATGAACATATGTCAGTGGCTTCTCATTTATTTCGACCATCGCTTCTAAGTCCTTCCTGGATGATAGCTTCCAACAACAACTGTGTATCGATATGTCCTGAATTCTAATCGCCTGTTTTGCATGTTCTACCCTGTAGACATTCGCTCGCTCCCCTACCTGGTCGGCTAATCTATGTTTTCACCTTATTCAATCCGGCGAACGACTGCCTGACTCAGATCAACGAAAGAACCGATAGAGGTGTCATGTAGTTACACTGATTGTTAAGCTTGCATTCGCATTTTAGATAAGTAAATTTGTTATCGAAAATTGTCTAATGCACTGACTACTCTTTGACAACTACTCACTGATAGCTATTCAACCTTGATTAGGTAGTTAGGTACATGTTTTGATACAGATAATTTCATCATTAATTTTGGTTGACAACTGATTGCTAACCCAATCCTCGTGCTAATATTCACCCGCGTAAACTTCTATTTCATTCCCTTGTGGCCATTACCTCTAGGTTTAGGTACACGAAATGCTTGGGCAAACCTATTATGATATTCTCTATCGTTCGCTGAAAAATGGCCGGAGTCGAGTGGGTGCTTAATGGTAGTATGTTATACCTGAACAAACCTCGATGCGTACTGAGTGTCGTTATCGTTTTAGCCTTTTCTTGTAGCTCGAGCTGTAGTTAAGCGTGTTTGAGGTCTAATGTTGAAATATATGCTGCAACCTAGCTGAGCCTAAACGTCCTCAACTTTTTGGAAGCGGTTATTTTTCAGTCGGAATACTGCAATTGATCTTAATTTCACAGTCCCCACAGATGTAAATCAAACCATCATGCTTGAGTACTGTGATAATTGGTGTAGCCTAATCCGAACACTGCACTGGCACCATAACACCCCTCTTCTGCAAGCGAGCAATTTCTTTTCCACATTCGATAGCATCATATACGAGAGCGATGGGGCCCTGATGAATTGTAGCTATGTGTCAGGTGGAGAGTAGATATTAACTTGTTCACCGGTGAACATTCCTTCTTCTGGTGTCTCAAAAACTGGTGCATGTTACTGGAGCAACGTTCGTATCTCCGATGATAAGGAAAGTTGGCTTATATATAGAACCGGAAGCTGATTGATTAGGCTTCGACCCAGCAAATTTGGACCATCTCCGTGTGTGTATAATGGTTTCCGCGGGTGGGCGCCCTTTCATGCGATACCTCAACGTCCCGTACCCCCAGTAGTTTCACTTCGCAATTCGTGTATGCACGCAGTCGCAGCGGCGCTAGACCCGGCGTGGTGTGGCTCCTCGGGGCCCATCATTGTGACAATGTTCATTCATTGCACAAAGTTATTGCACTACCCGTGTCAATTTTGAAATACACGAAAGCTGCTTAACACGAAGCCGTAAACAGAATGGTGTTTGTGTGCGTGGGGTAGTAGGGTATAGTATGCATTCCTATGCTCCAACGGTAACAACCTGGTTTTCTACAACTGGGAATGTGGGTCTATACTGGACCGGCACATCCGGGCCAAATGCCCACGTCTTTGGTATTTGTTACATGCTGTCCGAGCATGGATAGACTATTTGAAATGACTGTGTCGCAAGCCGCAGCGATAGCAGCTAAACGAACGCTTGGTTATTTATCAACCCTGTTGATTTCTGCAGCAAAGTCCCCATCACATGGCTTTGAATGCAGCTGCAAACTCTGCAAAGGTTTGACATTTTGTTCAGTAACCCCCATACCCGTCGAAACATCATAGACACTTTCCAAAATCAATGCGTTCCGAGTCAACAGGAAGCGCTGAATATGAACGTTTTTCACCTCAACCACCAGACGACCCTGAGTCACGTCGTTTTGGCAGTTGCCGAAGCCACAATATGCCGTCACACGGAACACGGACTTTGAAGTTAAACCGATATCCAATCACTGATGATTTCAGGCTGTAGTAATTAGTTACCAGTGTAACCAGTTCAACAAATTGTCACCAGTCTGCTAATTAGTTCGTAGGTTTGTGAGCCAAAAACTGCTCAGTAAGGTGCTTACTTGGCGGTTGTCGCTGACGATTTCGTTGTCAGAGAAAAAACAACTCAGACGCTCAGTGTAATGATCCCGAGAACCGGATATCTCCGTGTCCTCTTCCGATATCAAAATGGATGCCTTGGTGTGTTCGACCAGTCCGTCGCCAGTGTTGTGAGTAAAAACGTGACACTCGAAAGGACAATGCGATGGTGTGTACACAGGGCTAATTCATGATCCGTTTGCTTACACTCACTTTGTTAAGATCACAACTTACGTACGTCACCTGGAGGACTGTAACTGGTATGAAGCACTTGTAACAAACTACTTGCAACAATCGAGAAAATCACTGGCTTTTAAACCAACACTAAGTGGCATACCAGCCCTGTCTCCAGGTGCATTGGCGTTTAGTCTCACATTTTCATGAAATTAACTTCAACTGTGCAGATGAAGTTGTGCACCTCTGGGGGTGCAGAAGATCGAGGGTTACCTAGAGCTTCACCGCGGTGAGGCTCTCATCCGCTTTCTTTGCATAATAAATTGCTAACGAAGTCCCATGTTCCAGGTAGGAAACGCCAGGTACTAAGATCATCCGATCCAGAGCACATTGGCAAGACGAGTCAGGTAGTTCACTCGGTCTCTTCAGACGAACGTGTGAGGATCTGAAATAGGCAGAAATGTATTTCGTTTTCACAACAGGAAGCCCTAACTGGAGGGTATGTCACACTAACCAACACTGGGCGCTAACACAATGGTACAGGTGACTACCAAATAACGTCTGTTCGCCATCGACAGTGCCACTTACCGTCAACGGATGATATTGCCAAACATCGCACCCGTTCCACTTAGGTAAGGCTCACTAAGGAATGCATCGCAATGCGTGAGACTCAGACCACAATTATATATCGGCAAGATTTAGCTGGGCAGCGTGACGGCGTTTAGCCTGACCAGGGAGATAGCTGATCCCGTCATAAGTCCGTGGATTGATATTTAATAAGTGCTTCCATGAACTTGTAGATGCGAAGTGACGCGGAACACATTTATGAGAATACGCCATTGGGCTGAAACACGCACAAGCGACAGACAGGGTGAGCACATATGGTTAGCGAAACTATGCCTTGGTCGAAAGTCGAGAGTTTCGAAAACCTAGCAACTAACGGCGTTATGGCTTTTGCACCAGACAATGGGACGCTGTCTCCCGGAAGGACGGGCTTGAAAGTATCACCCACACCAATCAGGTTATGCCATGGGAAAGAGAGCCTAACGGAACCTCACTGGCTTGAGAAGGCTGGTAGCATGTGGCAAAAGGTAACCTTTGGGACACAGCGATCCGTAAAGCATCTTAGGTATCTTGAGCTGATGACGCCGCTTTGGAAACACGGAGCTCGGGACCAGTGAAACCTTGACCTGTCACGATACGCGTAGCACCCTGCCAGGTTCGGTGAACAGGCATTCGGGTGGGGAGCAGGTATTTAATTTTCTAGCAAGAACACTCTCCTGATCGAATGCTTTCACGCTGGGAATTCTACCCATTTGCCACACTGTATGCGCACCAACAGATAAAATAAGTTCTCCGATGCAAATTAAATGCCGCGAACTCGTCACAGTTTGTGCACACACTGCGCGAGCGCTTTTGTGAGAATTGCCAACCAGATATTCTGTCGGTCTTTCCGGTACTGCAATTATCGACATTGTTCCTCACGTTCCCATTCTCGAAGCCGCAAAAGCGCACACAGGTCACCAGAATTTTACAAATTTGCATCACATAATCTCCGTAGAGGCAAACGCAACGCACGGTGGGAAAAATTAGTCAGAAGGGCGCATTATCGTTCACCTAGCCATTACAACTACCGTGTGCGTGTCGCCTGTTTCAAATGTGGTCGGATTTGACTGAGGTTCAATCTATCTTGGACAAAGAAATGCGAAAGTAAAGTTTGACTCCTGGCAAGTTAGTATGACGACAAAGTGAAATGACCTCACGGCCATTCATTCTACGGTGACATTCATACGAACTACATGCTCAGCTGAGAGACTTGTGTACCCCCATCTAGGCACTGATATTTACACGGATTAATTCTTCAACGTTATGAAAACTGAACGTTTGTGAACCGGTTAGCTGTGGCACCGTCGTCACTGTGGACCCACTAGCTTACCGTTACTTAACCTTTGGTAAGTTGATATGTCACAGTAGGTCCGGCTACTAGCACACGGAAGGCACTTGTTGCGGCTCGCATTAAATCAAAGAGCTTATTTCAGATTATCTGCCATCCCGGAATACATTAGTAAGATTTGTCGGTGCACACCAATTGGTGTCTATTTTCGTATATTTTCTCCTTTTGTATTGCAGTACAATAGCTGAGGTGTTTCTCACTTTAGCTAATGTGTAATGATGAGAATGACGATGACGATGATGGCAAGAGAGGGAGGGTCCTCCTTGCGAATCCGGCTTCATTCATTTTCTTGCTCAAACACCACTCACCGATGGGTTCAGGGTTTTTTAGACTTTCGAAGCTTCGGTTAACTGACGAACCATGGACTCACATGGTGGACCTACGAGGTACTCGCCAACGAGAGTACCGCATTCACCTGTTCAAGTGACAAGGGCACGCAACTATACAATTGCGACGCAGGGACTGCATAACACCGGTGGAGAACCAGGGAGAATGTGTCCATAATGCATCACTTTTGACCTTAGTTCAACTAGGGATCATCCCACCCGGCTGATCAGAGGAACTGACAGTTTGGCTGGACATTATTTCGCAATTAATGAACGACCTGTGAAGTGACAGTTACGCCTCCAGTTGCATGGTTAGCTCGTATAACCAGTGTGCCTAGAAACATCACCCCGGGCGCCACAGAGGATCCAATACCAAAACGGGTACGGACTGGATAAAACCCACCATGTAATACATGAATCTTAAACCTACTTCACATTTGAGCGTCCATTCACAACAATCAAGGTGTTGTTTGCCTCCAGCACATTGGCATTGACGGAGATGCCGTCCAGGTACTGCTTCAACAACGACTTTAGCTGACGATTCTCTTGTTCGAGCACACTATGCTCCTTCAAAATGGCAAGGCGGTCCAGTTGCACTTTGTTAAAACGTCGCCAGAACATCTCCAAGGGGACACACTGGCGCAATATCTGAAGTGGGGGGGACAAGAGTTTGGACAAGACAGACAATTTTGACTTTAACTAAACAATCTCTCCTGATAACCGTAATTGCTACTCAGCACGCACCATAAAACAGCACCTTCGTTCCATCTCGAAAATGCCTTATGTGGCTTGTTAAAACAGTGTAACAAAACGCCCTTCAATATGCACTGTATCGACATTATATCTGGCTCTACAGGTTCCGCACCTCTGCAAACGGTCACAATAAGCATGCACCACAGCACAGTCATCAGGCGCTTTCAGACACACGCACACACCCACACACGTTGTACAAACCGTAGCAGAGCCTTGACCCGAAGTCGTCTAATAACCCGTCGGTGCATCTGGTGAATCCACAGTGGGAACATCTTCGTAACCCAAACCTTCATACAACATTTAAATATCACCTAAGGTTAATCAATCACTTCATCTGCTCAGATTAGGTAGAAACAACAGTTTGGAAATGTGATGGGGATGAACGTGACGTTGAAGGTCTGGTATTTCCTGCCTTCAAAAATACCAAAACGTGATTTACCTAGATTAAAATGCACGAAAATATGGCTTACGGTAAACATCATAGCTTGTCTGTCGGGGATACTGTTGTGAGCGGATTTGGGTCAGCCCAGAAGCTAGTGCACTTGCCAACTGGTTGGCAGAACGGCGTACACTTCTGATTGGTCGTTTGAACCCATATGATCGGGGAGATTACCCTACCGGTTGACAGTGCCATACTATGACAAACGTTTTGTTGTATTGCGTTAACCGTTTAGTTACACCTACAGTTTTCATGATACAACAGTTACCAAAAGGGCAGCCAACAGTACCCGAGACTGGTTAATCTATTCAGTTGATTATGCATGTACAGCGACTGAATATAGTGGGATGTTGTGATTTAAATTGGTAGGAAGATGCAAGTAATTGAGTACCTGAGCCAACTCATCGTCACCATCCACTTGAAATGCCTTCTGCACTTGCGCCTCCTCGTCCTCGGTTAGGCTTGAAACGTAGAAAGGAACCACTTTTTCCGCCTCCGTTTCGTATTTCCGGCAATGCTCCGCCAGCTTGATTATCCTTTCCGCTTTGTTCAACAGAATTCGTACCTGAAGACGGCAATTTTTAGCATGTTGGAAGAATGGCTAGATAAGCTAAACCAAAGAATCCCGGCTAGCAGTTTAAGAAGGATTTCTGCTTGCATACAGACGCTAGGTCTTTCAACTGTGTAACGAAAATTTGTAAATACATCTTTTAGACCCACTGAATCAAATGTGACCGACGGAAGCTTTAGTACCGAATCGGCTCATTGGTGCCAAATCTTATTGACTGGGATCGTCAAACTGATATAATCAGGTCTATTGGGACAAGTCCAACTAGGAGGCGAAATCCTGCACCTAAAAACAAAAATGCTGTCTGATGGACTCAACCATAACGTCCTGTTCGCCACTCAGCATGAGACGATGGAGGATACCTGAATTTGCTGAGTTGAGTGGGTCACCTTACTTACACTGTCCCTTTTCTGAACTGTTGTTAGCACCGCAAGCTACTTTTAGGATAGAACTTTGAATACTCGGTAAAGAAGAAGTGGCTCCCCGAGCGGCCGTGTTTTAACGACATGAAGATGCCCGTAGTGGATCCTGAGGTGTCGATAAAGACAGTATTAGAAATATAGGTTACTTCATCCAAAACCCAAGGGCCTTACAGAGATGCTGGAGATACGACTAGCGCTGATGTTATTGTAATGATGTCCTCCAACTCAGTCTGTTCAAATGTGAATGTGCCCATTGGCTTTCATCACAGCTCTACCTGCCAAGTAAGTGTCATTGGCATTCTGTCGCCAAACTAGGGGTTTCTAATAATAGTGAGCCGAAAAGGAGAGGTTACACAGCATGTCCAGTATGTTAAACAATCTTACTCTCCTGGAACGTAATCGGATGTGCTCCACTTCTCAGATCCGTGCAAACTACGTTATCATTCCGCTTTCATTGAGGCCTGACTGAAAGCAATTTTGTCTCGTTGGAGGGTTTGCTAACGTCGTATGACGTTACAGCCTGACTAGTTATACGTTCGCTCTTAATAGATAAAAAGATAAACGTTTTATTCCCGACAGTGCGAGACACCATTAAATGGCGTGCTCTTAGGTATACTCATAGTAATAGTAATAATAATCATAGTAATACTCAGCCATTAGCACAAAGTTACAAATCAACCAGTATATACTGGAGTTATATTGTAGGTATACGTTTAAATATATGGGTCAGTGGCGGGAGAGCCTATGGTGCGCTGGGGCTGGTGCTGGCTAGATCCGGACAAATGGTCTACCCACTGCTGCTAATGTCGTGCTTTGGGCTCATGTCCTGGACGCCTCCTCGTGGCGACCGCTGGGTAGGAGTTCGTTTACGCCCTTCTCCCTGCTCAAATCCAGGACATCAATCCGCTTGAGCCAGTGAACTGACCATGTGCTAGACCCAGGTGTACAGTTAATCGAAGGCTTTGGCTGAGGACCCGAGTCCTTCTCCTGTCAGGTGTGGGCGCCCTGCCAATATCCTACTCCATCCTCTTCGGAGGTTAGGAAGTAGTCGATGGACCTTTTCCCGTAAAACCTAGCCATGAGAGACAGCAGGTCTACGGGTTATAAGCTCACAGCTCCATTGGCTAGAGCACGAGCGCCACGCATTGTCCCTGATGCTGAGAGAGCACCTCCGGGTGCTTAATGGTTTGCTACAACCCTCCACAATCCAGGCAGCCCCTGGTCAAATTGGTGCAAACCCGCCAAAACTTACCTGCGTCTGGCCGTGGTCGCAGATGTACCATACTACGGTCGCAAAACATATATGAATCGTTTCAGTACTTCAAAGGCTGTGTGTGACGGCCGTCAAGCAGCTCCCATTGTCTCTGCAAGCAAATTCCCGAGTTGGAGCTGCTCCCCACTGTCTTGTGGGTCAGGCTATGGAACCAAAGGCTCTGGGCGGAGTCCCTCAAGCAAACCTCCAAAGCACAACTGCCACTTCGCGTGCGATTGCCCACCAATGCAATCGTATGACTGCACACAAAGCACTCAGCATCGGGTGCTGGAACACGCGCACACTACTGCACCAGAACTGGTGAGCGCCCGGAGCGACGCACTGCACTGGTCGCGATGGAACTGGCGCACTACCACATCGATTTTGCGGCGCTCAGTGATACTCGGCTCGCTAAGCAAGATAAGCTGCATGCTACGGGTGCTGGTTACACGTTCCACTAGGAGAGCAACACCACCTCAGCACCACGTGACCATGGGGTCGGATTTGCAATATCCGATCGCCTCCATGGCCAACTGGTGGGTGAACCAACGGGCATCAGCGCACTGCTGATGACTGTGCGCCCACGACTCGCGAAAGGTAAGTTTGCCAATTTTATAAGCGCGTACGGTTCGACCATGTGTTATCCTGATGACATGCGTGATCAATTCGATACTCAACTATCCTCCGTGATACGGTCTGTGCCGAAGAGCGACCGACTATTTCTGCTGGGTCATTTCAACGCGCGCGTTGGGCGTGATGCATCTGTGTGGACAGATGTTATCGGTCCGCATGGCATTGGTTCAGCGTATGCGAACAGTGACAGGCTGCTCCCACTGTATGCCACTCATGGCTTGACGATCACGAACACTCGGTTTGCACTGAGCGCGAGTGATGTAGCAACTTGGACGCACCCACGGAGTGGTCACGCTCACCTGCTTGACTATGTCATCGTACGTCAGCGTGATATGCGTGAAGTGCGCATGACACGTGTACTGCGTGGAGCTGATTGTGGCACTGATCACAAAATGGTGCGCACCAAACTGTACATATATTTTCATAAATCTATGTACTGCACTCCCGCCATGAATCGGCGTAAATTTAACATTCTCTCCCTCGGTACTGTGCAGAAATGTATTGAGCTGGAGAAGGCGACGCCTCCACGTCTGTGTGATGTGGAATGCATAGCCACAGTGGGCGACCTGTGGCACCACATTCGCGACCAGGTGACAGCTGCTGCCGAGGAGATCATCGGGCGCGCAAACTGTAAGCGGCCTGATGGGTTTGATGACAACAATGTGACGATTGGCGCATTGGTGTCGGGGAATAACGCAGCACTTTCTGCATATATGGCAGAACCCAGTAGCTTGAGGAAGAAGAAAAAGTTTAGGCGAGTTCGCCGACGACTGACCGGAGAGTTTCGTTGCATGAAAAATGCATGTTGGACGGAGAAGGCGAAGCAGATGGAATGCTACGCCGAATGCCGCCAACACAAGGAATTCTTTGATTCGTTGAAGGTGGTGTATGGATCAATATTGGAGCCGCCGAGGACGCTGATCGATGGTAGTTCAGGCGCTACCTGCACACAGACTGCAGATCTGGCATAATGCAGATCTGGTAAAAGCACTTTGACTGTCGCTTGAAGAACTTGAACTGCCTGAAGCAGCAGGATGTAAATGCAACTCTGGCGGACACGCCGACACTGGATGAGACGCAGACAGCACTTGCTCAGTTGAGAAACGGCAAGTGTACCGGTGCCGGTGGGATCCCACCTGAAGTATTGAAACACGGCAGACCCGCATTGGTGACTGCGCAGCACTACTTGGTGCAAGGCGTGTGGATTGAGGAATAGGTGCCTCCTGAGCTGAAGGATGCTCTTGTGCTACCACTTTACAAAGATGAAGGGAGCAAGCAATGTTGCAGGAATTATCGTGGCACCAACTTGCTGAGTTGTGTGGGCAAGGTGATTGCCCGAATCCTGCTCAATCGCCTCGTCAGTCAGGTTGTGGAACCGAACGTGGCGGAAGAGCAATGTGGATTCCGCTTGGGTCGCAGCACTATAGATATGGTATTTGCGGCTCGTCAGTTGCAGGAGAAGTGCAGAGAACGACACCAGCCATTGTACTCGCGTTTTGTTGATTTCACCAAGGCATTTGATACGGTGAACCGCGAGGCATTGTGCCTGGTGTTGGGTAAGTTTGTTTGCCCGCGCAAGTTTGTAAATTTAATTGAATATCTGCACAGTGGTATGCGAGCGAGTGGAGAGACCTCGGATGACTTTGCAGTTGTCTCTGGTGTGAAGCAAGGCTGTGTCTTAGCTCCTGCCCTGTTTAATATTTATCTTCATGCAATGATGTCTTGTGTTTTGATGTGGATTGTGCTTAAGTTGTTCGTGCAAAGCACCGTATTGATGATGTGTTTCTGAACATCCGTCATTTGGGTGCGCGAACACTGGTCTGTGAGACAACTAGCCATATGTTACTGTTCGCTGACGACCGTGCGTTGTTTGCACACAGTGCGGATGAATTGCAGCACACGACTAGTTCTCTGGCTTCAACCTCGGTCAAATTCGGGCTCACCATCAACACAAGTAAAATTTTCCGTCTCTTTCAGCCCTCACCGGAGGTGCAATCTTCAATATTGCCGCGAATCAGTATCGGTAACGAAGTACTGGATACCACTCCCAGCTTCTGCTAACTTGGAAGTGTGATGTTGACTAAGCAGCACATACACAGTGAGCTGCGTATCCGCGTGTCGAAGGCAGCGGCTGCATGCGGTAACCTAGAGTACCGAGTATGGAACAACCATCAACTTACCATTGGCACGAAGCTGATGGTGTACAATGCTTTGGTGCTGTCCGTTCTTCTATACGGCAGTGAAACGTGGACGATGTACCGGCGGGATGTGCGATATCTCGAGCAGTTCCATCAGCGGTGTTTGCGACGGCTTCTGCGCATCGGTTGGGGCGACAGATTTGCTGACACGGAAGTGTTGCGACGAAGTGGGATGTATGCATTGGACTGCATACATTTGATGAGGAACCTGAGGCGGCTCGGTCATGTGAGCCGTATGGGCTCGACGCGGATACCGAAACAACTATTATATGGTCAGCTGAGTGTTGGGAAGCGACATGTGGGGAAACCAAACTTACGTTACCAGGACATGATCAAAGTGAGCCTCTCACGTTCTAATCTTGAGTGCAGGTCATGGGAATCGAAGACAATTGATCGGCGTGCATGACGTGATCTAATCACGAAGAGAGTTGCCGAAGTGCGGGAGAAAGACCTCATACATGCAGAGAAGAAGCGGCAAGTGCGGAAGCGACA